CTGTAGCTGAGAGCGAAGACACTGAGCTTATTTTCACTCGTCCAAATCAACATTCCGAACGAGGTACGTCACTTTATACTGAGATAAACTTACTAGACACAGCAACTCCAATGTTGCCGAGTGTCTCCATCCACCAGATTGAATTCAGGGGTGTCCAAAACGTATGAATTCTCGCAGAGAAGGAAAAAAATTGGCAAATTTCTTTTTGGAGTCAGTGCAAAAATTTTAACATGTTTTATACAATCTGTAAATTACAATATCTGATTCTATATTCTTTCGAGAAAAAACAGCGTTTATTTCGTTCGATTATCACAGAAATAGCAGAAATAGGAGCAAAATTAGTAAGTGACTACAATTTTAACGAATCTCAAATAGCGGCCCTTTAAAGAATTCCGTACCGCTGCCACAACCTAAGTTTAAAGGGCCGTAGGATAAAGGTTAATTCAAGATATTTACAGTGCATTATCCCACATAATTCTTCCCACATCTCATTTCTTGACAAAGTCAGTGGACAGCTCACAAGCGCTTATTTCTGTTGACGCACACCATGAATAAGAATTATTGTGTTTCTGGACATTATACATTGTCCTGTTTTTTATTAAAAACACATTTTGGAGACTGGATTCTGTCCCTATCTTCAGGTGGAATGTACTCACTTGGGCCTAATCGACAGAGATATTTGTGCATTTTAATGCATACTTCTAAATGTCTGCTTGTTTGTGGCAGATGTTACATCGGCGAAACAAGCAGACATCTGAAGTACGCTTCAAGGAGCACAAATATAGCCTGTCGCAAGGTCTGCGTGAACAATCGAAATTAGCCCCACATGCATATGAAGAAGGCCATAAGGATTGTTCAAAAGGAGTGAAGGTCTTTCAAAATGAACCAAACACCACCTACAGGAAATAACAAGGAATCTACCCGCATGTCTGTGGTAGTTCATTCGATCAGTGAACCAAGCTTGGACATTTCTTCCACCTACACACACATTATCACAGCAGAAGTCAGAAAACTACAACTCCATCCAGTGTAGATTATATGTGAAAACTGTTTTCTTATATTGGTATGATACAGAGAATTTGTCCCCTTAGTGATGACTTTTATTCTGAAAATACTCTGATATTAACAGACAGACATGGAGCAGTGCATGGATATAGGTCCTAGGTCTCGTGTGTGGAGTTTTTAATAATCTTAATGTTTGTCTTAACTCTCGCATGTGGTTTATGCTGTGCTTGGTTTATATATCATACATTTTGTTGGTGCTGGTGTCTAGAGATAGGAACTAGCTCTGTCAACTGGGCCTAACTGAGTAGGTTCCACCTAAAGATGGAGACAGAATCCAGTCTCCAAAACGTTGCGTGTTTTGAATAAAAACAGGACGATGGATAATGTCCAGGAACACAATAATTCTAGTAATATAAAAGAGTCACAAACTTTTACATATTATTTACAATAAACAGAGTTCAGTATATAAAGAATTACATTACATTGTGTTTGTTGTGCTTTTTAACATATCAAACAGATACCCATATACATATGTCTTCCACAGTGATTGTACTTTTATTCAGAGTTGCTTAGAATTCTGTTTTTGACTTCTAGATTGAAATTCCTAAAGCAGGAATTAGAGAACAACGATAACAAGCTGGCAAAACTTAGAGAAAAGCGGGAGAAAATAAAAGCTATTAAAGCAAATGGGCCTAAGCAATTAAGCAAAAAGAAATTTGAACCCCTAGATCTGGAATTTAATTTAGGAGAAGACATCAAAGGTAACTTACGAGGCATCAAGCCAGAAGGGAACATCCTTGAGGACAGATACAAGAGTTTACAGAGGAGAAATATTATTGAACCAACAGTCAAGCAGAGGTATATATCTCCTATAGAAGTATTTCAGTCTTAAGCAGCTTTAAAAGTTATGGAATGTACCATACTTACTTTATAAATTTATATTACTGTTATATGAGACACTGTAAGTGAGGCGGGAATATCATCAGCCGTGAACTGATGACTGGGGTTTTAGCCCAAGTAGGACTATAATTTCACTCACAGTTTTCTGTGTGAAAGCCACGCAAAGTAAATAGAAGATTTATTTTGTACCATAAAATGATTATATTTTTTGTTTTTGCAAAATACGAGTATGAACAATATGAACACACATTCTTATTCCTGCTTGGTTTTGACATTATATGTATTTGAGATGTTTTATCTGTTTCAGGACCAGGAAGGCAAACGTCAAGAGATATGAGAGAAAGAGCCATAAAATGGGATGGGAAACAAAAGGGTATTGATATAATATGTTGTGAATTTCAAATAAATTATATGGATGAAATAATGGTGCTATTTTGTGCTCTTCCCTGCAATTCATTATGGATGGATAATATAATTGGTTGGAAGCAGCTTTCATATTTCTTGCACAGTGTTGTTTAATTCATTAGGTGATGATTTTTGCATTGTAAACCCCTCAGTTAAATATGAAACAGCCTGTTTAGTGAGCTCTTGCTGTATTAATGAGAAATATACAACTATTTGTGGCTCTGCTCCACAGTAATCAAATAATAATTATTTTAAATACTGAATTGTGAATAGGCATCAAGAATAGCAAGTGAGATGCTGTTGCATCTCTTAAGCATTGAAATAATTTAATGATGATTTTGATTAAGGTTTTTTAATACACATCTATTTTAATATTATAATTTATAATTAGGAAGGTTGTGTAGTTCAGCTGAGTAATTGGATGAGTGGCTGGTACATCTTGGCCAGTAAAATGGTGATTATGAAATTACAATGAGAAATTGGATTGAAAAACGTGAAATTATTGTATTCAAAAAGAATTTTGTTTATTGAGGTTACTGATGGCTGAAATTCTTCAGTGTTCAGCTTATGGTAGTTTCAGCATTCAGACTTCTGATACAATAAATATCAGCAACAATTTTTTGTAAAGTAACATGCTTTATTATTGACAAACCAAATACACCACCTCAATCTATAGACCTTTCTTTATTTTTCCACATAATCACCACTTCTTTGTACACGTTTCTCCCAGCGTTCTGGGAGTTCGAAAATTCCCCTTCTGTAAAATTCTGTTCCAGCCATCCGAAAACACTGAAGCACTGCTTTCTGAATTCAGCATGCTTATGGTAGTGTGTGCATGGGTGCGAGCGNGATGCTGCGTGGACAACGTTTTGAGACAAGGGAGGCAATTCAGAAAGCAGTGCGTCAGTGTCTTCGGATGGCTGGAATGGAATTTTACAGAAGGGGAATTTTCAAACTCCCAGAAAGCTGGAGAAATGTGTACAAAGAAGTGCGATTATGTGGAAAAATAAAGAAAGATCTGTAGATTGAGGTGGTGTATTTGGTTTGTCAATAATAAAGCATGTTACTTTACAAAAAATTGTTGCTCATGACTTTCAGTATGACCCTTGTATAAAGTACTTCTTTTGGCTTGTTTTGGACTTCATCCATTGTCTGGTGTGCAAAAGACAAAAGACCACGATGTTTCAGAGCCTGGATCTGCCCCAGTCTTCAGGTGGGTAGGGAAGGATAAACCTACTCAGGTGGGCCTGTTAGAATGAGCTAGTTTCAATCACTGGACAAACCGTGGTCTCTAGAAAACAACCTATGAACACCCGACAACCGGTTCCATCAGTGGGAGATAAGAATAAAATCACAGTAAAAGACATGATAGAATATTTGTGCCAAGCATGCACATGTCAACAATGTAAGAAACAGAAGTATCGATTAAATTCCAGGAATTCTGTTAAAAACGAAAGTAAAAACTTGGATAATGCATGCCTAATCTGTGTGAATAAAGAATCGTGCCACCATGGCGACTTCCGGAAATCAGACTAATCCGCGGAGCAAAACTTGCAGAAGTAGTGGAAGCCACTGATATTCATAAAAACTTGTATGTTTGATTTGTTAACCTCTTCATTGATGAGGGGAATCCATATGGGAGAAATATCCAAACTGGGTTGGCTGATCGGATTGGTTGAACATGCCATATGAGCTGATTCTTTGTACTTTCTGTAACTGCTGTTACTTTCAACCTCCAAGATCCTAGCTTCATCCCAGCTTACCTTATGACCCTTTTCATATGCATGCTGAGCCAACTTGGATTTCTCTAGAAGACCCTGCTTGAGATTATGCCTGTGTTCACGGATTCGCACAGCCAGCAGTCTGCCTGTTTCACCAATGTACCTTCTGCCACATTCACAGGGAATGCTATAGGCGCACTGTGCCATCTGTTGAGGATCCCTTTTTCGTCTCGTTCCCACAAGCGAAGATCGTAAAGTGTGTCTAGCTTTGAAGATGGTCCTAATATTATACTGGTTCCCTATGCGCTTGAACTTCTCAGAGATGCCCTTGACATATGGGATGTAANGGTTGGCTGATCGGATTGGTTGAACATGCCATATGAGCTGATTCTTTGTACTTTCTGTAACTGCTGTTACTTTCAACCTCCAAGATCCTAGCTTCATCCCAGCTTACCTTATGACCCTTTTCATATGCATGCTGAGCCAACTTGGATTTCTCTAGAAGACCCTGCTTGAGATTATGCCTGTGTTCACGGATTCGCACAGCCAGCAGTCTGCCTGTTTCACCAATGTACCTTCTGCCACATTCACAGGGAATGCTATAGGCGCACTGTGCCATCTGTTGAGGATCCCTTTTTCGTCTCGTTCCCACAAGCGAAGATCGTAAAGTGTGTCTAGCTTTGAAGATGGTCCTAATATTATACTGGTTCCCTATGCGCTTGAACTTCTCAGAGATGCCCTTGACATATGGGATGTAAACCATGCCAAGAGGCTTTTCCTCTTTTTTCTTTTGACAACTACTACCTTGGACCTGATAACCGAGTCAAAAAAGCTTTCAGAATAACCACTAAGTTGAAGGTCGTGTTTCAGGTTGTTAACCTCAAGGGTAGTAGTCATCAAAAGAAAAAAGAGGAAAAGCCTCTTGGCACGGTTTATATCCTGTATGTCAAGTGCATAGGAAACCAGTATAACATCAGGACCATCTTCAGAACTAAACGCACTTTACGATCTTCACTCGTGAGAACGAGACAAAAAAGGGATCCTCAACAGACAGCACAGTGCGCCTATAGCATTCCCTGTGAATGTGGCAGAAGCTACACTGGTGAAACAGGCAGACCGCTGGCTGTGCGAATCCGTGAACACAGGCTCAATCTCAAGCACAACACAACTGTTGTTGGAGTCTGTGGTGATTTTCGGCAGACAGGACATTTTCTCCGAGGAATTTGATCACAATGCGTTGTTCCATGCTCCACGGTACCTTCTGTTCGCTCATCACTCTACCAACTCCCAGACAGGACTGAACAGGTTCTAACCCCTAACAGGAGGGAGGGTGGAGGTTGTGGCTTCACTCTCTCAAGGTTGCACAGCTGCTGCAACACACACAAATCAGTCCCGGTCATATTTGAATCATATACACATATCTCATACTAGAGAACATTCTTTCATACTCTAAAAATATGAGGGAGAGTCAGTAAATAGATCACAAATAGATATAAAACACATGATATTCAAACCTGGAGAAATATTTATTTCTTGACATATTCTCCACCTATATTCATACGCTTAGTCCCATCGTTTTACCAGTGCACTGGAACCTGTGGCACAGAAGTCTTTCCATTGTTGTCTCATCCACTTTTGCACCTCTTTTTTAATCTGTCAGAGAAATGTTTGCCACCAAGGTTGGTAGTGATGTACCCTTGATTCATCCCCATCAACAATCCTGTTAAGCACATCTACATCTGTGTACCATAAGAGATGTTGCAAGGACAGACCAACTTGGTTAATTTTTTCTTGATCCTTCAGTTCTCTGGGCACCCACCATGTGCACACTTCTCGAAACTTCAAATGGTCATGCATTAAGCTGTATGCTAAACCACGGGAATATCCTAGTGCAGTTGCTACACTATCATCATCCTGTCAGCTCAGTTATTCCACCCACTGCACAGTTGTTTCTGTCACAATCTCAACAAGGCATCCTTGTCAGGCATCATCTGCAACTTTTGAATGTCCTTGAGATAATTTCTCGAACCAGTTGTAAACCACTTCATGTGACAAATATTTCCCACAGGAAACATTTCTCTATAATATCATTTGCCTTGAGTCCTTTTGTCCACAAAAGATGAAAAACAGAATACAGATTCTTGGTAGTATACTCCTCCTCCTAAGATGAGCAGGGCATGTAGCATGAATGGGGGAGAAGAGGAATGCATGTAGGATATTGGTGAGAAAGTCAGAAGGAAAGAGACCACTGGGAATACCAAGGCATAGATGGGTGGACAATATTAAAATGGATCTTAAGAGGGATAGGATGGTATGTATTGGATTGATCTGGCTCAGGATAGGGGCCAGTGGAGGGCTCTTGTGAACATTGTAATAAACCTTTGGATTCCGTAAAATGCTGGAAAGTTCCTGAGTAGCTGCACAATCGGTGGCTTCTCAAGAAGGACTCAGCTCCATGAGTGATGTCTGAATGTGTACCCCTGTTAGAGGCAATACTGTAGAGAATCTGTAGGAAACTAAAATAATTCAGGTCACTGTACCAAACAATATACATATCTTTAATATTAAAATGTTAATTAACTCTCTTAGCAACAGATACAGTTTCACAAGTTTATCTTTAATCACAAAATTAGTCATAATATGTATCAATGTGATCACTGTAATATGTGAAATGCAGATGCTACAAACAGTATGTAAGGACATCAGACAGGAGCATCAATTTTAAAAACACAAATTAATCGTTTCTCTAAGTGTTAGTGCCAAAACCCTAATGTATAATAAAGGTACAGAGATATGATCTAAAAGTTTATGATGATGGTACATTAGTAAAAATGCTATGTTTTTGGACATTATCCATCATCTCGTCTTTATCTAAAAATAGTCCTGTTTATTTTTCAAGACAACGTTTCTGAGTCTGGATTCTGTTCCCATCTTCAGGTAAAACTTACTCAGTTGGGCCCAATCAATAGAGCTAGTCTGAAGATAGTGACTAACTGTATCAATTGGGCCCAAATGAGTAGGTTTTACCTGAAGATGGGAACAGAATCCAGTCTCTGAAACATTGTTTTGAAAAATAAACAGGACAGGTTTTACATAGACAAGACAATCAATAATGTCCAAAAGCATAATATTTGCAGAAAGGTACAAAGAAACAATACAGTTAAGTATATAAGAGTTATAATGCCTTAAACAAAACCAGATTTGTAAATTGCTTTTCCACGATGAGACTGAAAAAATTGGAGATCTCTCATTCTCAAGTATCCTACCCTCATATGGAAGAATCACAATCTACATTTTCACTCTCTGCTTCAGAAAAATTCACCTTGATACTGAGGTTCTGCAGTCTCCCCTCCACCCTGCTTAATTTCACCATTTAGTGGTTCTGTAATTTTTCCCCCAAACTCTTCCTGGGAGCCTTTCTCTGTAACAGACTTAAAAGAAACTTTGGAATCTTCCTCTTTTTTAAAACCTATTTCTGATTTCTCATCTTTAGCCAGCCTCAGAAACTTTTCTTCGGATGTATCAAATTTATTCGATCCCATTTCCATCTTGCTTGAATGATGACAGTCCTCCACATTTGCATTTACTGACTCCATCAGTATGTCAGACCCAACTGTATAATGAGAACCAACATCTGACAAACTCCTGGGTACAAGACCCAGATCTCCAATCACATACATTGCTGAGGTCTTCATCAGTGATACCAACCTGAAGAAAAAATATATATTAATCATACTGCAGTATCTAAATTTGAAGTAGAATATATACATTATTACAGACTGTAGGTTTCTGTAAATAAGAAGACATCATACTTTTCCTCATTTTTCTCAAATTCTAGAAAGTCAGCTGTGTTCAGCATCTGTAATAAGTTGTTAAGAAGATTCTCTCTGAGACTCAAGTTGAAGGCTTCATCAGAACTAGGATGCGTCTGAATCTATAGGTAACAAGAGAAATTTATAAGGATCAATTTCACAAACCTGCCTGTTCACACGAGATTATCATTTAACATTTTACTAACATCTTCACATGCCTGTCTAATTCTACATTCAGTCTTAAAACAACAGTAAACCTATACCTATCTGTACACATTGCTAATTCCAAAATTAATTAACTTTCAGCAGCCAATCACATACTTCAATTGCTTTCCCTTCATGTAATTTTCAGTTTTTGTTTCAATCTATATAACAGACAAACCATCTCAGAGCATTCCTATGTGTAAAACAGCCTGTAACTATCGTGTTCCCATACACCTTGTGTTTTTCCTCTACTCTGCCATCCTGAAAGTTTTCCTTTCTAAGCTTCCCATCCCACCAGCTGGTTAAACTAGCATATGCACAGTGGCTTTTGTCACTTGGATGCTATTTTGGTCTTAGATTCCTTCATTCATTTTGTAAACCAAAGCAAAGCTGTACATTCATTTAATGTAAAATTGTTAATTGACCATTAACACGGACAGCAAAGCTATAACCTATGAATGAATGAATGAATGAATGTATGAGGGTAGGCCTTCTCAGCCCTTGCACTGCGACCTACAGTGGTCTATTGTGCTTCCCCTTTTGATTATCCCCTCAGCAATCCTGCGCTTCATTTCCTATAACCTATCTGTCAATATATGAAAACTGTGTATCTAGATCCTTTCTTTCATTTCCAACTTCCATTTAAAGTCACTGTCAGTATGTGTGTCAACAGTCAGGGGGTATGTACCAATAACATTGCATTAAAGTGTGTACAGTTCTCATTTTATCTCTTAAATATTCCATTCCAGTAATAAAACATCTATTCATTCATCTTATCTGGAAGTCTATTCTAGTCATATAGATTGATATCACCGTTCACACACTACATAAGATATTTTCTACTGATGTTCAAGAATAAAAAGGAGATTATAAGAGTAAATACAATATAATACATACAGGGAAGTCTTCATACACAGAAATTCAGCACATTAATTTAATTGCTAGTGGGGTAGGACCAAGTCCCTTGTACTGCAGCCACTTCTGGCCTATTGTACCATAAATTCAGTACATACAAACTTGTGGACTTCATTATATAATGGTTATCAACAATTAGTAAAATAAATGCATCACCTCTAAAGCTTCCTTGACAGATTTAACAGCAGCATGGAGAATTTTCTGTAACTTGTAGGTCTCTATATTTGATTGCAGCAGCTTAGAAATTGATTCATTCTTCTCATATTCTGTTGCCTGCAGTTTCTCTTCCAGGACTGCAATTTGCCTCACTGCTCTGTCAAGAAACTGCCTGGTCTCTTGCACTTGTTGCTCCACTTCTACAGCACGTTGCGCAGAGTTCTGCATGCTTCCAATATTCCTTGCCATTTCATCATATTCAGTTGACAAACGGTTGATCAGCTGCATGAGAATTGCATCAGACTTTGAATGATTGATGAAGATTAGATCACAGTAATATGCATACCAACATTCTAATTCTTGTTATATACATACTGCAAGATTTGTTTCATGTACTGAGCTCCATATAATCTCCTTAATTAAACTTTTTAATTGCCTTTTATTCATCATACAAATATTCGTCTTATAATGGGTGCTGATATATGTATTTGCTACACACACATTAAATTAAGTCCTTGTTTAAGAATTTAATATGGTGAGAATTTTTAAGCCAATGCAACTTCAAAGAGATACACTGACAACGAATAAATTTAATTTCTGAAAAGTATTTTTTTGCTTCATTGAATATTCTCTCACAATATAATTTCCTTTTACATTACTAATTCCATCTGACAAATGGCTTCAGAACAGAATTTATGGGGCATTATCTTCTTTGAATGATTCTCTACCTTAACATTCCACACTACAGCTACATTCACAGTGACAAATTAAATCTTAGATTAGCAATGTAGGGCAAATTAGTTGAGATTAAATCACAGTCTTGTAATATTTACCTTATTTTGTACCATGTTCTTAGCAAGTACAATATCCCTTTCCTCTTCACGCAAACGGACTTCAAGATTCAATTGCCTGTCTCTCTCTTTCATCATTTCATTTTCCTTTCTTAAATTCCTCTGTGTCTCCAGCATCTTCTCTAACTAAAAAATATCATATGCTTTTAATGATTTTGACAGCCTGCTTTGTAGTCCCTATTCAAAATATTATGGTAAATACCATATAGAATAAACAAATTACAATTAAATAATACAAAATGGTACAGGCATCTAAGCCCTACACCTATATTAAGAGCATGGAGAAAATGTATCACATATTCAAAACCCTAAGAGTAGATAAACATTTGCTTAACGGGCTTACAGTTACCTTCACTAGTGAGGATTAAACAGAAGATTCTAGAAATTAAACATGCGTTTTGATAAGCACTGCCAAAAAAAGCATTAATGAAACATAGCCCTTTACAGCCATGGACTACACAAACTCAGCACTCAATGAGGAAATCCCATAATCTACATATATATAAACAGGGACCCACTGTAGTTCACATTTAGTTTTCAAAATATCTTTTGCAATTATTCAGAAGCAGAATTCAACAATTACCTCATTGTTAACAGCAATATTCTCCCTTATTGCTCGGTGTGTGGTTGCAGCAATTCGAATATGTGTAGCGTCTTGGAAATCCATAGACAACTGAAGGAGCCTTGCCTCCATTTCCTTCTTAAGCCTGTAAGATAAGAAACAGCATTAGACCAAACCATGTTTCAATGTTCATGCACTCTATGAAATGTGAGCTGGATGGCCCTGTCAGTACAATGACTACACCATGGGACAGCAGACCAAAGAAATAAGGTTCAATTCTAAGTGTGGGCAGAGAGTCTTCTCTTTTTATCACATGAAGACATGCTCTGGGACCCATCCAGCATCCTCTCAAACAGGCACTGTGGACTCTTTCTGCGGTAGTAAAATGTTCAAGGCATGACATTAACCACATCTCTATCTAGCGCCAAAGGTTAAGAAAGACTGGAGCTACATCTCCACAATACAGCCAAGTCTCATCATGAGCCATAGTGCCAGTCACTTACCTTTACCTAAACTCCATCAAGTAAATCTACAAAACAAAGACCAATCCTTGCTTGGTTGCAAAAGTTACATAAATTAATACATATTAATAATAGAAACAATACACAAAAATACTATTTCATTACAAATGACGAAGGAACAGATTCAAGAAATTTCTGACTCACATACATACTTATCTTTTCCAATAATGAACTTTCTCTCCACTTCATACAGTGCCTGTTTGTGTCTTTGTTCTTTATCTGCCATCTCTTGCTCTTGGATTTTAAATTTATTCATGAGGTCATCACGTTGAAGACGGAATTCCTCCAGCGAATTAAGTTTACCAGCTGTGGAACAGAATGCAATCTATCAGATATATCATAACGAAAATAATAAACTTACCAAAAACAATATTTTCTTGCACAAACTCAGATGTCCAAATATATTATCAAGGTTCATTTTATGTAGAATAATCATTAACAAAATAAGAAGTAGTGCAATATTTAAAGAAATGTTGTAGCTTAAATCTCACTAAAATGTAGCCTAAATCCTGATTTTGAACATATGACAGTCATGGATCAGCAAAATAAATCTAGCTCTTATAGTTGGCCTCTCAATAAAACATTGTATACTTACTGAACACACCAGCAAGTTGGCTCTTTCACTATATATACGTAGATAACCTTTTCATGAAGTTTCCTTAGCACATTTTATGCACTTCTTATGTCCCCATGCAAGCTAGTAGAATGAGATTTTTTTGTGAGTGAACATTCAGGTAGAACAATTGGTTATTGTCCCATCAGGATATACCAGTCCATAAAGCATAAGTTCAGTTCACAGAAGTGCTGTCCAGAAACCTCACTACAGAAGTCTAGCTCAACATCCATTATTTTCACACTGATATATTGGGTTTTTGGACTTCATCCATCGTACTGGTTTTTAAGATAACTAATAAAAACACGACGTTTCGGAAACGGGATCTGTTTCCGTCCTCAGGTGAAGGAAAACACCTATTCTGTTGGGTCCGTTAGAAAGAGCTAGCCTCAATCACTGGACAAACCGATGTCACAAAACATGAAGATTATAAACACCTGAGACCAGGATAAGTCCATGAGAGCTAATATTCATAACAAATTGTTGCAAACACATACAAGCATGGAACTAGGATAGATAGATCTGTAGAAATAGCTCTTTCTAACGGACCCAACAGAATAGGTGTTTTCCTTCACGTGAGGACGGAAACAGATCCA